TCTGTTTCACTTAGGGGAGGGGTTTTTGAGTGCTCTTTGTTGTTTTGCTTTGCTTTTCCTTCTAGTCACTGAGAAATATGACTTTAGAGTTGTTCAGAAATTGTTTTGTGCTTTTTTTTAATTTTTTTTTAAGATTTTATTTATTTGACAGAGAGACACAGCGAGAGCAGGAACACAAGCAGGGGGAGTGGGAGGGGGAGAAGCAGGCTTCCCCGCAGAGCAGGGAGCCCAATGCGGGGCTCAATTCCAGGACCCCGGGGTCATGACCTGAGCCAAAGGCAGACGCTTAACGACTGAGCCACCCAGGCACCCCTTGTGCTCAGTTTTGATTTAAATATTGCCCAAATCTAAGATTGAAACATCCCAATTAGCTTGTAATTAATTCCTTATTTATAAAATGTCCTGTGGTTAATTCCCCCTGTTAGGGGAAGATTTACCTGCAAATTGGGCATTCTCTGACTCTCTCATAAAGTAGCACTCTACAGAATCACACGTATATTTTCTCCCAATCCCATTATCTAGATTTATTTTCTTTATCTTTATATGAAATTATTTTCACGTGTTTCTTACCAAGCTCAACCCCATCTACTAGTCTCAGATTCTTATTATAACCAAGGGCTTCATATCATTCCTTTGAATATCAGCAGCAGCTGATATAATATTATATCAATACATTATATAGTACTTGAAAATGCACATTGCAATTTTGAAAAAAAATTATCAAATTATTTAATTTAAGGAGACGCTTACCAGGATGACTTTTTTCTAATTGGAGCGATGTGCTGGATTTAAAAATATAGCAAAAAATAAATTCAATACCATTTTTAGATGTCTGATTATAGAAAGACCCCTTTTCTCAATGAAAGTGTGAATCTCAAGGTTTTATAAGGGTAGTGTGACCAAGTAATACGGGGTTGCAAGTACAGACACAAAGGTTCCTCCTAGATCCACTCAGGATGGTTCCTCTGGCCCGTCAGCATTCTGTCTACAGAGTATTGTAGTGACAGCTGTTGGCAAAGGGCTTGCCCTCCAGGAATGTAGACTCTGAGGGAAAAATTAACTCATGGAAAAGACTATGGGATAAAAGAAAATGTGGAAATAAATCTCAACAAGTCCAACCAGAAGAATAAATAATTCCAGATGAGCAATCCATGTGCTTTTATTTTTATTTTTTTAGATTTTATTTATTTGAGAGAGACCACAAGCAGGGAGGGGGACAGAGCAAGAAGCAGGCTCCCTGCTGAGCAGGGAGCCCGATGTGGGACTCGATCCCAGGACCCCGGGATCATGACTTGAGCTGAAGGCAGACGCTTAACCGACTGAGCCACCCAGGTGCCCCACAATCCATATGCTTTTATAGTGCCTGCTATGTTAGGGAGCTTTTTATTGAAGAGATCGCTTCCTGATAGTCTTCCAGCCTCAGAAAAAAAAAAAAGCAAGAGTCACCACTTCCTCTTTCTTCGGTGAAGAAATGGAGGTTTTCCAAGACCACACCGGGCAATGGGGACTTAAGCTATTGAGCAAAAGTGCTATCATTTGCCACTTGGGACATTTTTTTTCACACATTATGCAACCTTCCCAGTGTGCTTCCATGTTTTCTAGTCATCAACACTGATTGACTCGTGGGGAAGAGCACCTCTTGAAATTATCCCGTCGGATTAAAAGTGCTCTCAAAACCAACTGGTCAGCAAGGGTAGAGTAAATGCTATAGGCCGCCCACTTCTGTACTGGGTGCTGTGAGGTATAAGAAAAAGGCCGTCAGATGATAATGACCCTCAAGGAACTTCCAGTCTGGCTGGAAGACAGAATTACTGTCTGTGAAATAAGAAGGCAGTAAATATGAATCTGTCCTGGATATTTGAGATGTTACGATGTTTTGTTTATGTACTTGTATTGAGGTATAATTTTTATACAAGTAGATGCACGGATCTGAAGTATAGAGTTCAGTGAGTTTTGATGAGTGTGTACACTCATGTAAATCACAACCCTATCCAGATGTAGAACATTTCCATCACCCTGAAAAGCTCCTTCATGCCCCTTCCCAGCCAAGCCCTCCCACTACCAAGGGCAACCACTCTTCTGACAGCCTTTACCATAAAATAGTTTTGCAATTTCTTGTTCTTCATTTAAAAAAAAATCATACAGTTGAATATGAGATTTTTACTTCGTTTTCAAGTAAATTCATAAGTTTTATTTGTCACTATTTTGGTAACCTATTTGTAGCTATTTTACAAGGGCAACAGGTTTTCTTATATACTTCCAATATTCAGATAATCTGTATAATCTTTTATAGTGGCTGAGTTACTTGGATCTACATTTGTGAGGTTATAGTAGATTTTCACAAGATTCATAAGTAGAATCAACATCCTGTGCCAAACACAGCTTCAGCTACAAGTTTAAAAATGCAGTGTTCTACACACCAAGTATCCATGGTCCAAAAATTACAAGTGTCCTTGAAATTACTAAAACTTTACAATTATTAAATGAAAACTTTTGCCCTTTTAGTAGAGAAGTGTAGATAGATACTAACTAAATTTCACAATGAGAAGGTGATAAGGATAGATTTAACTTTATTGTCTGGAATTTATAAACATCAGCAAACCTGCCCTTTCTTTCCAAAAAAAAAAAAAAGTTTGGGAGAGGATCCAGCATTTTATGTTAGCAAAAGTGCTTAGACAACAGCTCGTCATATTCTTGATTGTCATGCTTTAGAAGAAAAACCCTGTGCCCTTTGGTTGCAATGTTAATTTTTCGTTTCGTTCTTAACTCTATATGTATCCTATATATTCACTCTATAACTATGTAATAGAAGGTTAGAGGAAAGGGTGATTGTTTTTTTACTTTAGAAATTTTAGCAGTTTTATAATGGAATGAGAATTTGAGCAATATCTTTAAATACAGAGAGGTAAAAAGAAGTGGAAAATCATAAACATTTAAGAGAGAGCGTAACATGAGGAAACCTGTCAGACAGGAGCAGAGCCTTTAAAGAAATAAAGTTTAAAAAGGAGAATAGTGGGTTGCCTGGTTGGCTCAGTCAGTAGAGCATGGAACTCAATCTCGGGGTTGTGAGTTCGAGCCCCATGTTGGGTGTAGAGATTACTAAAAAAAAAAAAAAAAACTTTAAAAAAATAAAATAAATGAAAAGGAGAATATTGGGAGATAGAAAAACTCTTGAAAGTCAAATAAAGGAATCCTAGAATCTGAGCAGCAGACGACCTTGGAAACCTCTAGTCTTTGTACTCAAAGCAGGAACCCCCTCTACCACAGCCACATCAGGGGTCCACCTAGCTTCTGCTCATATCCTTTCTATGGGGAGGGGGATATTACTGCTTTTCCATGTGGCCCACTCTTGTTTTGGACAGTAGTAATTACGAGGCATTCATGCCATAATTCCATAATTCGTGCCATAATTCATAGGCACTAGGAAGGCACTGTACATTCTTGAACATGTAGGGTTTTTTTAAGATTTTATTTATTTTTGCCAGAGAGAGAAAGAGAGCGTGTGCAAACAAGGTGGGAGAGGGGCAGAGGGAGAAGCAGACTCCCCGCTGAGCAGGGAGCCCAATGTAGGACTCGATTCCAGGACCCCGGGATCATGACCTGAGCCGGAGGCAGACGCTTAACCAACTGAGCCACCCGGGCGCCCCTGAATATGTAGATTTAATGACATACTCAATATACTTTAGGGAATTTGGTCTGAAATACACCTACCCATTGTGTTAGGAAAGGGGCAGAATGAGTCATTTCAAATAGAGCTTACATTTTTTACGGTTTTATTGAGATATAATCACATACCGTACCATTCACCATTTTCAGGTACACAATTCATTGGCTTTTAGTGTATTCACAGAGTTGTAGATCCATTACCACAATCAGTTTTCAAAAAGGAATCCCCCACCCCTTAGCTGTCATCCTTCCAAAATTTCCATCTCCCCCAGCCCTAGGCAACCAATAACCTACTTTCTGTTTCTACAGATTTGCTTATTCTGGATATTACATGTAAATGAACTCTTGCAATGTGGTCCTCTGGGACTGACTTACTTAGAATCATGTTTTTAAGGTTCATCCATGTTATGGCATGTATCAATATTTATTTCTTCTTGTTGACAAATTATATTCCACTGTGTGGATATATCATATTTTATTTAAACATTCATCAGTTGATGGACATTTAGGTTGTTCCTATCATGATTAATGCTGCTGTGCACATTCATGCCTAAGTTTTTGTGTGGATCTGTCTTCAGTTCCTTGTGTATATACCTATGAGTGGAATTTCTGGGTCATATGGTAATTCTGTATTTAACCACTTGAGGACCTGCCAGACTATTTTCCAAAGTGACTGCATCATTTTATATTCCCACCATTAGTGATGAGGGTTCCAATTTCTCCATATCCTGGCCAACATTTGTTATTATCTGTCTTTTTTATTATTGTCATTCTGGTGAGTGTGAAGTGGTATCTCACTGTGGTTCTGACTTACATTTCCCTGGTGGCTAATAATGTCAAGCATCTTTTCATGTGCTTATTGGCTATTTGTATAGTTCTCTCTGGAGAACTGTCTATTCAAATTCTTTACTCATTTTTTTGTCTTTTTATTATTGAGTTATATATTCTAGGTAAAATACATATTCTATTCTTTTAGAGATACAAGTCCCTTATCAGAAATGTGATTTGCAAGACATTTGCTCCTTAGTCTCTGGGTTGTCTTTTTATTTTCTTTATAGTGTCTGGGTCAGTGTTTTTAGTCCTTTAATTCTTATGTGTTTTTCTTGTTTTTCCTGTTAAATTATAAAATTGTGAAATTTAAATTGTAAAATTCTACAAATCTGGAAACTGCAAGTCCTTTTAGATCTCTGTTCATCCTGTAGAATGGTATATATCTATTAAAGAATGTGTCTCCACAACTAGCCACCTCTGCCCCTAATTAGATAATTTCCTGGTGGATAATTTGATTTCATTCTTGGTGAGCTATGATGGCTTATTGGTTTGTTTTCTTGTAGGTGAATCGATTTAGTAAGGTGGAAGACCGAGCGATTTTTGTCACCGATCGTCACCTGTATAAGATGGATCCCACTAAACAGTACAAGGTGATGAAGACTATTCCTCTATACAATGTAAGTGTTCTCTGCTTTCTGAATAAAGGAGTCTTAACCTGGTGTTCTTGGACCACTGTGGGTCAATAGACTGATCACTACGACCTTTCGGGCTTTAGGGAGCCCATGAATTCCTGAAATTTTATGCCAATCTTATGTTTTGTACAAATGTACTATTTTCTATAAGAAGGATCCAGGCACACCTGGCTGGCTTAGTCGGTAGAGCATGCAACCCTTGATCTTGGGATCATGAGTTCAGGCCACACGTTGGGTATGGAGAGTACTTAAAAAAAAAAAAAAAAAAAAAGGATCCAAAGTTTCCAATAGATTAATGAAGACATTTTAAAAAACAAGCATAAGGACTCTGTATTCTGCGTGACCTTTCTCTATTCTTAATCCTACTTACTGCTTAAATGTTGTGGCACATAATGTATTTTCTTGTTTTCAAGAGGTTCGTTTTTATAGGGAAGTGGAATTAGGAGAAAAACAGTAGAGAATTACTTCATGAAAACATTACCTTTCTTTCAGATGTAAAATTTATGCTGTTTCCAGAAGTTCTTTTCACCAGTATATTTTGCCTCTGATCTAAACCCACTCAGTTGTCCTCCATGGGGTTTTAAAGTTCTATAATCATTTCTCATTTGAAATATGAAATTTGGTGGTTATCTTCTTGAATCTCAATATGATTTTTTTTTAAATTTTTGTCCTGCTATATGTGGTCTGCTTTACAAGTGACTGTTCTGATTCTTGAGAAAGATCCTTCTGACTGCAAGATCTTTTTGAGTGTCAGGTGATTTTTCTGTATTCTAGTTCCTAAGGAAGGAGGTTTATTTGTCCAATAGTAGAATTTATGAGGAGTATCATTTAAAGATTATTTTAAATCCTTTTGGTCTCTGCAAAAGGGAACAGGAAACATAATGTTTTGTAGTTCTGTATTGTTAAATCAGGAGTTCTGTTGATTGTGAGGTACAAAGAAGGCAAACTATTCCTGGCTTTGCTAAATGATTTAGAATATCACTGCAGGGTTGATTATGGGGTTGCAGTTTGTCTCCATTACACCCCCCCGCCCTGTACACACACATGCATCCTTCTCTCTTTCAATAGAAAGGCTAATGGATTGCAGCTAAGAAGAAAATTATATTCTAAGACATTCTTGATTGTATATAGTCTTCTTAGCAAACGCTTGTAATCTCACATATCAATCATCGTTTAAGCCTAATAACTGCAGTCTTAAAGTAGGAGATGAAGGAAGATACAGGAGAAAATCAGGTTTTGTCAAAGTCAAATGAAGTGTGGAACCAAATAAAAAATAAATTGCAGACTGTGTTTTATTTCTTTACCTTCTATTAAAGGGGAGATCAATCAAAGCACTTGATACAAATTCAATAAATAGCTAAACAACTCTTTGAACTGAAGTTATTTTCCCAAACTACCATCCTTTTTCATGTTGACTGGTGTGCATTTATAGTCACTATTCCCCTTCATCAGTAGCATGGTTGTCAATGTATCAATAATATCATCTAATATAAAAATTAATGATGTTTAACAATCACAGTAAAGGTAAACAATTTCAATAGAATGGGTACACACTATCATGGATGCTATCAGTACTCTGCCCATGTCCCCCTGTATTCCCTTATCATTTCTGTGCACACCAGCCTAACTTCCATCAGCCAACATCCTTGTCCAAAGGCTGGCCTTAGGCTGCCAGAACTCACTTTGCCTGCAGCCTACCCACAGGTGGTAGCTGATTTAACACTGGGCCCCATTGGCCGTCTTCCCATCCCCGTACCACCTCCCCACACCCTTGCCAGCGTCCCTACACCTCCCAAATCACTTCTGCGTGTTTATCAGCCTTTATCTCGGGGTCTGCTTTTGACAGGAACCAACCTTGGAGGAGTGGCTGCCTCTTAGGAGAGACCAGGTTGAATGGGATAGGGGACTTCCAACCATATCTATAAAACGGTTTTTGAGTCTGAAACAAATATGGCAAAATATTAAGTATTGATAATGAAAACATGAGTCTTTGTTATTTTATTCTTTATACTGTTTGCATGATCAGACTATTTTGAAATTAAAAAACAGTTTAAGACAAGGACATTTTTTAAAAGACATTTTTTAAAAAAATGATAATGCTAATAAGAGTAATGCAGAAAGTGGGAAGGGAGAAAGGAGATGATGTCGGTTTTAACCATGTTGAGTTTTTTCAGGCACCAGTGAAACTTGGAAGTATACAATCCACAGATAAATTAGAAGTCTAATATTGTAGAGGGGGAAGGAATTCAGCACTTAAGATAAAAATTTAAAAGCGGATCCATGTATAATTGGAGGCTAAAATTATGAGTCTAAAGAGAGAAAGGGGGCAGATGATTCAAGAACATTCCTTGTTAAATGGTGAGGAAAGAATCGCTGAAGGAAATGGAGTAAGAAGGAAATCTCTCAATGGGCCTCCATTTGCTCCTCTCTTTCATGTGCTGAATGAGCTGTGGCTTCCCTTCAGTTCCATAGGTTATGAATTATTCTAGGAAAGAAAAGAACTATAGGAACGTTGTGTTTCAGAATCAAGTTGGAAAGTTTCCAGAAGTAAGAGTAGTTGGTAAGAACAGACAGCTGAGGGTCCCACACTCCTCCTTCTGCACAGGCTCCTTTCCTGTCTCACTTAAGCTTTTCTGGCTCCAAGGAACAGATTGTGACCATACACTCTCTTGAGTAATGTTTTGTTTTTAACGAGGATACACATGGTAGTAAGGGAGAAGAATCTCATGAAGACCCGGGAAAGGCTACCATTCAGCATTTAAGGCTGCTCTCCGGGACTCTGTTATCCTGAAACCCCCCGCAGCAACACGAGTGCTTAGAGAGTCTGCGTTCCTGCCATTTCCTGGGGCTCTACTTCTCTCTGGGTGTCTTCTTCCTAACAGTCAGCATCCTTGCCAGACAGCACAGGCTAGTGCAAGGCTGGGGTCTACATGGGCCAACCCAGGAAACCACTGGAGTGTCATCCTGCAGTAATGTATCCAACACAGTCTCCAGCAGAGTTCTCACCATAGCAACCAATTCTGCATGACCCACGTTGGTACCGCATTTCCTTCTCAAGCTCTTGTTCGTCTGTGTACCCTCTTCCCTGACTTTTCCTAGTTAACATGGATAATTACTACAATTCTTTTAGGGCATGATTGATCTCACTGCTACAATCTTTGACTACTGTCCTTAGGCCCAAGTCATCTTTGGACCTTGGTCACAGATCATGCTGGGGTGGGACATCAGGAGAGAAGTGCTTCAAATAGGCCAGCTTCACCAGGCATCCTTGGGTCCTTGGACTCTTCCCACCAACTCCTGTTCCAATCTCCAGGATGCTAGTCTTTGTCAAACAAGGCCTAAATCGTGCTCATGGATGCCCATCATGGGTGAGAGTTTCGGCGATGCTGTCATTTGGCTGTGTGTCTAATCAGCTTCTAAACCTGGTCTTCACCAGTGCTTTTTGACAGAGTATGTTTCCTTAACTGCTTCCAGCCAGCAACATGGGACCAATATTTGTTGTTTTCCTAATGCACCATAAAAAGTACTCAACCAATTTACTACCTTTACACCTCCCAACCCATTGAACTTGTATAAAGCAGGAGCACCTAAGTGCCCCAGGCACTTAACTCTAATGGGCACATCTGCCAGCTTCCAGGGGCTCAGCTGTGATAGGGTAAGTGACTGCTTCCTCCCTACAGACCGGGGCTCTGCATGCTGGGTGGAGAGCTCCTCTTCCTTGTTGACGGGCTGCAAGCAGGGGCACATCCCATCTGAGAGTGGTTTCTGGCAGCATCCTTGTGCTCATTTCTTTCTGCTAGGTCTTGAGGTGTGATGAACAGAGACTTCAGGAGACTCGCATAATGGGGAGTTACCCCTGAGTTAGAACAGCGGTGCAGGAATTACCTTCATTTGGGGTTTTAGACAGCTATAACCAGATTGTCTCGTTACAACCTTTACAGTCTCAGTAACTAAACTCTTTATTCAGTAAGTGATTACTGAGGACTCATTATGTGCCAGATATATAGGTATTGTGGCACGGAAGCGTTAAAATAGTCAAAATTTCTGCCCTTATGGAACTTCAGTGGGGGCAGCGGACTCTACGTTTATGTATATGTGTATATACACACATTCACATCATATAATCCATTAGGAGGGGATAAGGGAAGAAACAGAATAAGGAAGGAAGATAGAGGGTGTGAGAGGTGTTGTAATTTCAAACAGGGTGATCAGGCCTCACTGAAAATTTGACATTTAAGCAGAGACTTGAAGGACCTAAGGAATGAGCCATATGTTTACTTGGAGGAAAAGTATTTGGGGCACAAGGAACAGCTAAGACACAGAGACATGAGCAGGGAGGAAAGGAGCCTTCTGGGAGCTGGAAATGACCAGCTCCGTAGCTTGAGCTGGTAGTAGTTACACTTGTGTATACATATGTTCATCAGGCAGTTTCCTTGAGATTTGTGTACTCTACTGAATGCATGTTATATATACCTCAGTAAAGGGGGAGGAAAGGGGTGCCTGGGTGGCTCAGTCGGTTGAGCATATGCCTTCGGCTCAGGTCATGATCCCAGGTTCCTGGGATCGAGTCGCACATCGGGCTCCCCGCTTATCAGGGAGCCTGCTTTTCCCTCTGCCTCTGCCCCTGCCCGTCCCCACTCGTGCCCTCTTGCTCTGCACTCTCTCCTCAAATAAATAAAATCTTTTTAAAAATAAAATCTAAAAAAGGGGGAGGAAGAAAGCTATCTGTGAAGGAGGACAGAGGAGGGAGGGTAAGCCAAAGAGAAAGGTGAAGTAAACGAGGCAGGGGATCATTGAAGCCCCGGGGAGATTTGGACACATGATGATACATGAACCATTTCTGTACAGCGTGTGGAACATACACAGTCACATTTGCTTTCTCCTCCAACTAAAGAAGAGTACGCCCCGCTCCCTTGTGCTCGGAGAGGTAGCCCTCCGCTGTTCCTCGGGGGAGAAGAAGCCACTAACTAAACCAGGGTGGGCAC